TCTAATATACCTGATATGTAATAGTACACTGTCAATTAAAACAAATAACTAAATAAACAAACAAATATAGACCTCTTGACCCAAGACTGTGGGTTTTTATTGTTGAGCACTATTTAATTTTGCTCGGGTATCCCGGCCCCCCCCCCCCCCCCCACTCAGGTTCCGAAATGACCGCATGCGTGTTGCCAAAATGTCCTTTTCGTAACAAAAGAAAAAGGTCGACTCGTATTGACTTTACACACCGGACTTTTGCTGAAAAGGGGGGGGGGGTGCTGAAAAAGGCTCGTATACAAAAGAAAAAGGTCGAGCCGTATTGACTTTACACACCGGACTTTTGCTGAAAAGGGGGGGGGGGGTCGGTTGGAACACGCATATGCGTACCCTAAATAACACTGAGTGGGGGGGCCGGGTCGGGTATACAGGCGAGGTGGGGTGAATGCTTTCAAATGTAAAAGGCCCTTTGTCTCACCTCGTGCAAGATTAGGGCGCTTTTATTAAATTTATAGGAGTAAAACACCGTTCATTGCATGCATGCTACAAATAAGTTGTATACAGACTGGAAAAGGATAGTACGGGACAGTAGAGAGTGATTTAAACGAGGAAATTAGGATTGAAAAAGTAAAAAAACGTTGTTGACCTGGCAATAAGAGCTAGGCTCTTGAATCTTGTTTTAAAAATGGACATGGCTCTGTGGCTACCGCTACCGGCCGCAGGCCACGCTGACGACCGCCAGCTAGCTGACGACCGCCAGCTACCCCCCCCCCCCCCCCAAAAAAAAAAAAAAAAAATTAAAAAAAATTGTATCAATCAATAAAAGAATAGCAATAAATATGGACTTTGAGTGAGATAAAAAGGGGTTTAACATAAGTTTTTCTATTACACAGATATTTTTTTAAAAAGCACTTGCTGTGTGTCGAACCCGATACCTTCCAGTTACCAGGCAATTGCCTATCCACTAGACTAATGTGTCACACTGCCAATCTCTATGTATTTTTTCATGTTGATACTTATTGTGTAGATGTAGCAAAAGACGTTTTTCTTTTTCAAAGATTAAAAAAAAAAAACACTAGCTGGGTGTCGAACCCGATACCTTACAGTTACCAGACAATTGCCTATCCACTAGACTAATGTGTCACACTGCCAATCTCTATGTATTTTTTCATGTTGATACTTATTGTGTAGATGTAGCAAAAGACGTTTTTCTTTTCAAAGATTAAAAAAAAAAAACACTAGCTGGGTGTCGAACCCGATACCTTACAGTTACCAGGCAATTGCCTATCCACTAGACTAAATGCGTCACACTGCCAATCTCTATGTATTTTTTCATATTGATACTTATTGTTGTAGATGTAGCAAAAGATGTATTCTAACGACTAAGTAATTCAAAAAGTCGCGCACTCTTAAAAAAAGAAAAGAAGTGTATTACATGTTATTTAATCCTTTGTTTAGAAGGTGGGGGGGGGGGTGTCCCCTTTAAAAAAGAGATGGAAAGTCAATATCATGGGGTGAAGAAAAAAAATTAAAAAAATAAAGGAGAAGCTGGGAGTCGAACCGGATACATTACATTGTGATGCGATCAGTCTTATCCACAAGACCACTTTGCCTCAGTGCCATTCTCTGGTTCGTTTGTTGTTAACACTTTCTGCATGTTAATGAATTTACAAAATATGCCGATTTACTGATTTCACGCTTTCGGGAGGCATATTTATTATTATTTTTGTAGTCCGATGTTGTCAAGATTGCCCCTAATTTTTTTCTTTCAGTTACTGATATATTAGGGAGGTTTTATGTTATTTTCATTTATTCTGCAAACTACTGACTTTAACTTAAAGTGATATGACAATAGGTTACTGCCCTGACATAGCATGATGAATAGAACACGGGTCTATTAATTTAGTATACGCTACGAATTCTATAAAAGGGCACCAATGAATAAAGGAAGCTTGGCTTTTCAATAGCTTGCACCTGCAATTTTTGAATAGTTACGTAACAAACTACTCAGCTCTTTCAGATATGGCATCAATCAATGAATTGAAGAAAACAAATCCGACCCTCCCTTCATTGAGCGAATACTTTTGGCAAATACGTGGATTACCAAAGAGGTAATAATAGCATTCCTGACATTGCAACAATGACAGCATTATTTTAAAGTATTGTCTCTAAAGCTGGCATACTGAATAAGCTATTTATCCTTGTCTGGGAGGACAAGGCCTTTCAATATCCCCATGCATAAGAAAAGAATAGGCTGGGGCTGTAGTCTGATTTCAAGAAAGGAAAACAATTTCGGGACAGTTCAAAATAATGCTTGGAAATGGAAATTCAAATGATACCGTTTTAAAAACCATCAATTATATATGATTTTAGGACAAGAATCAGAAGATTCGTAAATATTCATAATTGAATGACACACGCCCTTAAAACTAAAACAACAACAACAACAACATGATTTTTCCGTAGAGATCAGTGGGTTGTATTTAATACTATAGGAGCAGCAGCAGCTACAGTACCGTACCCTGCCCGGTATCCGCCCGATAGGCAGTTTTTCTTAGATAACTTTTCTGAAAATGAATTATACAGGCGCTAATGTATATCAATTTGTAGCCGAAATTCTAGCGAATCCAACCATGCCATTCTTATGCCTGAAATCGTAAGCAATTGTCCGTAGTGCGCCGTCTGCGTGAGGCATTTTCCTTGCCTATTTCCGCCTAGACCTGCCCTAATTCGTCCCGATGGTGGACGCGCATCAAAAGTATAGAAAAGGGAGACATCTCGGGTAAACGTTAGGCCAAATAAAATTGCTTCCCAGTAGAATTTGATCTACATGATATTTTGATAATTGATATTTCTTTCTTTATTTCTTCTTTTGCCTCTGTAGGCCTACTAATAATGTCTGTTCACTGTTATTCACCACTTTCTGATCTGGGAAAATTCTGTAACTGCCTTTCCGGGAAAATCCTGTGACTTGTCTTTAATGTTTTAATAATGGTAATCAGACAAATCTGACTAAAGTCACTTAACATATCGCTAATCATTTTTAAATTAACCACTAGGGTGAAAGAATTTAATTTAGAAAAAAACTATAACCACTATCAAAGTGAACATATTGTAAAAGAAAGTAATGGTGCTTCATTTTTATTTATTTTTAAATGCAAACTATTCTCGACATCTCTCAAATCTTGATTCAAAAATAAATTAGCGTATATTTTTAGGCATAATAATTGGTTGGAAAAAGCATCTAGCAATATTGTCATTAGAATTATCATCATCGCCGACATCGTCTAAATCATCATCATTACAATTTTAGGGTATATAGGTCTATAACGCAAATGTGGTTTCCTTTTTGATTATTTGTTTAAGACTTCAAGTTGTTGTGTTTTTTGTTTTCCACTTGTTCTAAATTATGCAGTATTATATTTTGATAATGCATTCAATAATAATTATAGCCAACTTGAAAGACAAAACTTTCCGAAATGATCTTAAAAACGAAGTTGTCGATTCACTTCCATAGAAAGTCAGTGTTTTTTTTTTGCAAAATAATGTAGTATAATAATTAATGCAAAAGGAGTGGTGGTAGGGGGGGGGGGGTCACCAGTCACGTTTTTGCCACTTCAACATCCAAAGAGGGTTGAAAGCTATTGTATAAGTATTTTGTTGACATTACCGAGAACAACTCAAATCATGTCCTGCAATGTATTGCCCTTCTCTAAATTTGGCACTATACCCCCTCCCCCACATCTTCTACATAATTCATCTATTTATTTATTCATTCAATATTCATTCATTTTATTGCCGAGAGATATTAATGTGATGGATAGAGATAAAAAAATGTTCACCTTTTATTCGCCATAAAACTTTAGCAAACTAACAACGTATATAAGAATTACCCTAGCCATTTGAAAGGCTGACAGGCGTATAGGCCCTTGTGAAATGTATCATTTATAGTTTTATACTACTCTTTCGATAGCCATTCATATAGGTTTATTTCACATAAAACAACATTTATTTTATTCACAGTCAGCTGACGGAAATTTGATAGCAGCGAAAATGTCATGGTCCGTGTTGGCAAAAATATATAACACACAAACATTTGAAAAAAGATATTATAGCCTAATGTATAGAAGCACTAAGAAAAAGGATGTAAAAGTGAAGAGGGAGACTAAAAGAAAAATCGGGGAAAGGAGGGGTGTAATCGAAGAAAATTGAGGGAATAAATTAAACTAAATTAATTAAAACAAAAACTAATACATCAATCCTCTGCCTGCATCCTGTATCGTATCAGAAACAAGCACTCTTTTCGCTACAAAGCCACGACGCTGGATTGAAAGGCGACACAAGCTTCAGCGACATAGAACATAAATACAAACTTTTTGCAAATCTACCAAACCTGGCAACTTTTTTAAAAGCCGGACTTAGTTGTCATCGGGATCACTTTTGGAGAACCGAACTTCAAGCATTTTTTGCAACATTAATCAATCATATATAATTTTGTCACAAAATTTAACTGCATGATTATCACATTACCACATCGTTACCAGAAATTGTCGGTTGCTCGATCGAACGAACGGCCAAACATCATTGCAACATTCTTCGGGGGGGGGGGGGTTCAATCTCAGCCTCCCACCTTATTCGCCTACCATTACCCCCCGGAAAACTACCCCCAAAGATAATTACCCCTAAGGACAATTACCGTGCCTCGACGAGCTACCCCCGGAAAAGAGTCCCCCCCCCCCACCCCCTGAAACTTAACCCCTATATAGGACAATGCCCCCCTGGGACAACCAAGGACAACCGCCCCGAGGACTACCCCCTGTTCAGTATGAACAGGGGGAAGTCAACCTCGATAATTAGTTGGGTAATTTTTAGGGGGAGATCATTAATTTCAGGGGGTGGTAATTGTCCTCTGGGGGTTTAATTGTCCACGGGGGGGGGGTAATAATTGTCCTAGAGGGTAATTTTTCGGGGGGGAGTAACTTCCTCGGGGTGGTTGTCCTCGGGGGGGGGGGGTAATCGTCCTTGGGGTAATTATTGTACCGCTAATTGGCCGGGGGTGACATGCCCAAGGGGTAATTGACCTAGAACCTTCAAAGGGCAATAAATAAACAGCTACTCAATTTACACTGAATCTTATTTTCTGGTTGTAAACTCAACGAAAAATGAATGGCCACCTCTAAATGATTATTTTGTAGACCATGCAAGTGAGCCTGCAAAATGTTAAGTTTAGTAGCACGGTTATGATTGCTCATCAAAAAGTGAAACAACATTCCGTCTGGCAGATTTTGACAACTGCATGGCTGTAATACCAGTAAAGAGTTTTATGCCTGGTGACCATGTTATCTCATTTATGATCTTTCTTTTATTTGCAAAATGTAGGTCAACATATACGGGGGGGGGGGGTGAATTCCCAATTTACAAACTGTTTATAGGTCGAATGTAGTTTTATAGTATTTGTGTATTCTTCACCTTCTTCATACTCTCGAGTTGCGATTTTATGGAGTAAACCGAGTGTTTTATCATGGAAAAAAGACAATGAAGTGTGCACTTTCAAAAAACCAACCGCAGACCTAAAAACACACAAATAGACTAAAAAACCACGGGCAGATAACCTTTTCTCTGTTAGAGCATAAACAACGCACGGTACATACACTGAACTAGCGCGTGTGTTTGAGTGGGCGGAAATAGGGCAGGGGCATCACAGGGCGACATGGCCGAGTTCAAGCCTCGATAACTTTTTTATAAATAATAATTTTCGCAAGAAATTTGCTCAGGTAAAACATCAGGAATTTAAACTTCCATATCTCTTTAAACAAAAGTAAAATTTCCACCATATTTTTTTTCTGATCGTTTTGAATAGGAACTTGATGTTTTTTTAAAAAGGTTGATTCACACCTAAATAAGCGCATAGCTGACTGCTGCACAGTGACGTCATTCGCGTATCTCCGTTAAATGGGCGATCGACAGTGTACCATATTTCGTGCACATGTTCCTTACAACGTGTATGCTGCTATAGGCAAGTTAGTCGCACGCCTTCATTGCGCACCGTAGAAACTCGGGCGAAGGAAGACGGCCGTTGTGTCTAATAAGCCACTGGTAACAGGGGGGCGGTAACTGGGCAGGGTACGGTACCGAGTTTCAGATTTTTCGAAGAGACCGTTCTTACCATCGATGACCACAATTCATGCGATCTAAAATCTCGCTTGAATGAACACATCTTCGGGTCAGGTCAGGTAGCTACGTTCTACAAGTGGTAGCGAGGCATTTAGCAGTCGGTGGACGGGAGCGGCGGCTGCTACGGTATATCCAACCGAAATTCGATGGGTATATCGCGATAGTTTACGTGTGATTGCATGTGTAATTAGTTAGCTGCTAGTATACATCTAACGGTAGTGCTATATGTGATGGTCTTTTGACAAAGCGAAACATAACAGCGCTATAATTATAAATATCACACCAGCATCATGGCTCCTGCTCCGTCATCCCCAGACGATTCAAAAGGATATTGGGGTCCTCCTACATCTACTCTCGATTGGTGTGAGGAGAATTATGTGTCTTCATATTACATTGCAGAATATTGTAAGTTCGTCATGATTACTTATTCAAATAGTCCTTCAAACTTAGTTAAAGTTCAACTTGGGGAGCTCATGATTTCAGCTCCTGTGGCTGTGGTTGATAACACTTCATAATCAAGGAGATCATTAAATGTTAATGCAACAGGTTTAGTCACAGACAGCTTGAGTAGACCATCTAAAATTCTATACATTCAAGTGTTTGTATCATGAATTATGATGTATTTATGTGTATCTATTTTTGTAATTGTATGCCAAGAGTATAAGATTATGATGCTTGCCTCTAATTTTTTAATTTGTCTTTTCTTATATTTCTTTTTCATTCATAATATATCATTACATTGCATTGTTTGTTTGTTGTCTGGTGTTTGTTTTGTCTTTTATGGAGGGGTGAGGTTAGAATTTTGTTTATAATTGTGTTATGTTCTTTCATTTTTTCATTCTTGCTGAATTTCGACTTTACTTCTTCTCATGCATACAGGGAATACAATTTCCAACCTGTTTATGATTGTGCTGCCTATAATATCCAGTGTATACATGTGGAGAGAAAATGTAGAATCACGATTTATCTGGGCTAACCTTAGTTTATTCGGTAAGTTTATAGCGCTTTTGCTAAGATTGAATGTGTTGTATATTAATGCTATGAAAATATTAGAAACTTTACTTTCATTATTAAAATATATCAATGTTGGTGCGGCACCTTTCACACTTAAAGTGCACTTCCAAAGTGGTCTTGAAGAATTATTACTGTATGTGTGCGTGTGTGCTTTATAAATGTATACGATATATGTCCAGGATTTATCATATGATTCTTTTCTAAATATAAATGTTTATATTTATATATTATTATTATAACAATAATACCTGTTTCCTAGGGGTCATTTCAGCCAGTCAAACAATTTGAAGAAAAGGGAAGCAAAATAGTGAGACTTTGAATTTGTTTGTACTTTTGTACTAAAGAACAGGTTCCTTAAAGTGCCCAACTGTCTCAGTCCGAGATATAACATTTAATTTGTAAATATCAGAAACCTGTTAACAGTTTATATGTGTGTGACGGGCTTAGAGTTGACCCCCAAAAATCATTCTTTATCTAATGCTTTGGATAAACTTACCTGGATTACAATGCGACTGTACAATGTATTTCAATGTCTTATGTTTTGCCAAAAGTGCCCGAATGATCATGGAATTTTGTTTCCTATGTGATGGATGTGGTTTTTGGTGTGAAAAGGGTAAAATACTCATTTTACTTCTCTGAATGCCCAGTATTTCAACATACAATGTAGCTGAGAAGCTATAATCATTTATGTGTATTTTATTTATCATTCAGTTGTTGGAATTGGATCGTGGTGTTTTCATATGACATTGCTGTATGGTATGCAGGTAAAGTAAGCAGACTGAGCAGGCTTTCACAAAAAAACATCATGAGTACAAGTTCATCAACAACCCATCGACACATAATGAATTTAATACGCGTTTCAACGGGATGTCAGTAAACTTGTATTCATGAAAGTTTCATGAAACAATGCCTAAAGGTCTATAGAGTACCACAGTGTGACGTCATATAAGCCAAGTTGTCGGGGCAGCTGGTTCCAAACAATATTGTGCTGAACAATGGCGCGGTGATGACACTAGCGCTATATTGAATTTCCCTGCTCTAGCCCGTTGGTTGAATGATGTCGGGGTGAACCTCATGCGAGGGTTATGCGAGGGCTATGTTGTTTGGAACCAGTGACCTGAACGACGAGCAAATATGACAGCTCTTTAAATAATCGGTACTCTATTATATCAACTTGTATTATATAGACAGCGCTCATACCTCTCCGGTATATTTCGTATACCCAGCTCTTTTTGTAATTAAACAACAGTTGTAATTATTTTTTTTAATCACTGCAGCCAGTACCTAAATCTTTTCTCTATAGTGAAAAAAGGTCTTTTTGTTTTTAATTTCCTCATATTTTCTCTTCTCTTCTCACTCTGCACACACTGTACGTGTTGAACAATCTTTAAAGCAGTAGAACTGCTGAGCTAAAAGGCACTGTTTGCTCGAGAGATTTGCTAACCCTTCAAAGTACACATGTTTATTCGTTCATTCATTCATGACAGCTAGTAAGTCAGTTTCAACGCTAGACTATTTTTTTATCAGACTATTAATCCACCCTAGATTATGGCTACATATTAACATTAATGACTTAATGTACATGACTATTGAGATGACTGTTAAGGAAAAGGAAAGATCAATTTTGAACAAACTTTATTCACAGTGTATACCCTCTTTTAATAAGTTAATGTTTGACAAGTGAGTTTGACCAGTTATGTCAGTTTTCAAAGTTTGTTTGCTTTTGTCTGTTTCGTTTGCAGTAATTAGACAAAGCAGTGTTCAAACATCATCTGTTGTTAATGGATGAACTGGTTGTGAACTTTGCAATGAGATTAAGCTCATATGCTATTTGTACCTCATTTAACATATTTTTTTGTCATATAGATTAACTAGAGAGCTATCAACGGCTCGAGCAACCCATACCTTTGGATGGACGCTTCTTTGACTCTGTGTCTGTAAGGCTCCTTCGCTCCATGATCCATTCAAGATCACTCCGCGTACTCACACGCGGTTGCATAATAAAACTTTATGAAGAAATAAACGGTGAATACACATGGCATGTAAAATGTTACCAATTTCTTTCTTTTTTATTTGAGATTTGGCATAAAATTGGCATTTACATAATGATTTTCACCTGTAATTTAATGATGTACGAAGTTCAGATTGATACAATTTTGTATCATTGAATCATTATTGATCAAACGTGTCAATTTCTTCCGACTAATGCGAGTAATGGCTTTCTGCTTTCTTTTCAATACCATAGCTGCTGGATGAGCTGCCGATGGTTTGGGGGTCAATCGTAATGGTTTATATCAGGTGATTTATGTTGCATCTTTGATGAGGAAAACGATAGTAGTGATGATGATGGTGGTGGTAATGATAATGATGATGATGATAATGATGATGATGATGGTGATGATGATGGTGATGGTGATGATGAGGATGACGATGACTTTAGTGATGATGATGATGGCACCATCTTCATTATCACTAAAGTCATGAAGACAATTATTGTGATGATAATGATGATGATGATGATGATGATGAAGATGATGATGATGATGATGATGATGATGAGGATGACAATTACTTTAGTGATAATGATGATGGTCATCATCATCATTATCACTAAAGTCATGATGACATGATTGTGGTGATGATGATAATGACATAGAAATGTGGGGATGTACACATTCTTCAAATATGCAACAAGCTTGCAGCACATTTAGAACCCCCCCCCCCCCTGCTGGAAATAACACACTCATTCACAGTGCAAAAAATGTGAACACACAGTCCACACTATGAACAGAGGGATAGTGTGGACACCGCCAAGATGTGGTAAACCACAGTGTTCACATTGTAAAATTCGATTTCACAGTGTGAATGGATCCGCTCACAATGTGAAAATTATTTCACAGTGTGGCCAAAATGTGAAAAATATTCCACGCTGTGAAAAAAACAGATTTTCACAGTGTGAATACGTTACGACATACATTTCACAGTGTGAACCGTAAATTTCACAGTGTGGCCACTCTGTGAAAATACTTCACAGTGAAATAGAATTCACAGTGTGGCCGACCGCTCGATTACACTTCAACTTTAAGTCTGTTTTCTCTTGAATAACTTTTCTCACCCTCTAACTGTTGTGTCTATTTGAAAGGTAGATTACAGTATATGTTCTGAACATAGTTTTATTATATATTATTAAAGGAAATGTGAGATATTTCAAGAACTGCAAAAGAGTAAAAACCATATCTTGCTCTTACGTCCCGATTTGATGGTGAAATGGCTTATGAATTCATGATATAATTTGATTTGATATTTGCGTCTGGTTATGATTAGTTACGTCATTTATGTTAAAATCTGATTTTGTTTATTCTTCAGTTACGAGAGCTGTGCCAAACCCGGGAACTTGAACCTGAAGTTACTTCTAGCTCTCATCGTCTACTGCTCTGTGTTAACCTATATCTACCTCACAGTCATCGACCCACTCATTCATCAGGTAAATCACATAGTAGTCCTTTGGCAAGACATTGATCTACATTTGCCACACTCAGGTGATGTAAATGGGTACCTGGCAGGAATTAATTCCTTGAAATGCTAGAGCGCCGCAGTGGCTGCCTTGCTAAAGACCGGGTAATAATCGGGGCAGCGCCAGGAGCGTCACAACGTGACGGACATGTGCGCTACATAAGAAGCCACCATTTTTAGTAATATTATTATTATTGTTAGTATTATTATTTGTATTATTATTATTGTTAGCATTATTATTTGTATTATTATTATGCAAATATTATGGCAACATACTATGGCAAATCAACACATACACTAATACCTTTCATGATAAATATTCAAAAAATTACAACGTATCGATGATTTTTTTTTTTTATTATTGTTGTTTGGTGCGTAATTTTTCCACCATGAAAGCCTTGGAGGGGGTATATACTGTCAAATGACACTTCCTCGGACATCATAAATTTGTATTTTGATACAGAGACTAAGTGTAGGGATTATTTTGTTTGCACGTGACGGTATTTTGGTACCCGCCCACTTCCCATTTTTTCACAATGTAAAATTGTAAAATTGTATTTTGCAGCTGTATTTTAAAGGCATGTTTACTTTGTCATCTTTGAGAAGGGCTATACTGGATTTGTCTTATGGATGGCAATTTTAATTGTTTATGGAGTTGTACAATATATTGTTTACAGATACATGTTTTGTCAAAATTTGACCCAAAATGGGCCGCGTGGGTGAAAACCACGAATCCTAACCACTAGACCACACGGGATTGCCATGTCATGGATAGCTAAATATTCAACTTGTATAATCTCAGCCTAAAAATAATGATAACAATACACTCATGCCTGAAAATCCTACTTTCTTTGCACATAATTTTGTTTGTCTATGCTTGACATGTCTATATTCTTTTTATCTACAAATGAGTTCATTTATTCGTTTATTTTTTATAAAAATGAATGTTTGTCTATTTTTAACCATACCTTGCAAATGTCACCAATTTCCATTGTTAGAAGCATGAGCAACATACATTGACCTTATGAATCGTATGACCTTATTGTTGCCTACTGAAATATGAGAGTATTCTCCGATTTAAGGTTACCAGATTTGTCCTTCAAGATGATTATTGTTGTTCTCATGTAGTGTTATATATGTTATGCTAATTACAGAAAACTAATAATCTGTTTGGTATTATATCTACTAGATGCCTAAAGAGAAACATTTTTATCAAATGTGTGGCATTCACCAACGCTGAATAACACCTGTATACATAAGTACACTTTTTTTTTCATTGAACGTGCACAGTAATTTTTTGTTATCATGACTTTAATATTTTACAACATTTTTATGCCATTTTACAACATTTTTTTAAATAATGCCTCCGGGACCACCTTAAGGTGGTCCCGGAGGCATTATTTAAATCTATACTAATCCAATGAAATCCATTAATCAATCATACATCAAATCTTAAAGAAATGATGGAAACTATTCATGATAACAAGATCAAGGCTTAAGTACACACATTTTTTCTTCACTTTGGTATCGATGTTCATTTTTTTAATTCTTTCATTCCCTATTTAGGTTGGATATGGGTTTTTAGTATTCTTACTCGTAGGACGTGGAATATATTTGTTACGGTAAGAGAGAGAAAGTAAAGAATAGTTAATGTCAACATCTTTTTTCATCTGTCATCTTACATCACATCTTAGCCTGGCTTCTCCGCTATTAACCCATCCAGGACAGGGTTTTTTAGAGCTAAATTGATCACATATTGTTCTTCAAATTGGCAACATCAATATTTTTATTTTAATGCGAGACGATGTTCAAATAAAATGCAGTATCTCTGAAAACAACATATTTTGGTATAAGATTTTGTAGAAAAGTTGAAAAAATTACCTTTTTTCATAGAAAACATTGATTTTGAGAACCTCCCAAAACGATGCCAGTTTAAGGACTTCAAGGGTTATTTCCTTTTAAAAATTCCTGGCATCTAACGAAGTGTTTATGCAACAAAAATGCACACAATATATGCAGAAATTGTGCCCTTTCAGGAATACTTGTCCTTAAAGGTTTGTATCCCTCGGTCGGAAAGTCGGATATTAAAGTTGAATTAGGGCTTTTTAGATATAAGTTTTTAGACGTAAGATTAATAAGTCACATTCTCAAGAAACATGAATATAACATCAATATTTCACGTACTTTAAAAATTGCAAATGTTGGTAAGGGTTTGAATAATAAATTTGTTAACCGTAAACATTAAGTTTAAAAATATATATATCAAAACTTATAGGTTTTCGTGATCAGGAATTTCTACGTGACATGTGCCACTGTAGTTCATTTACCAGCTTGATTAGGTCAAGTAGATGTCCTTATTACGAACCGGCATGGTTAATTGCATTATTAACTTGGTCAACATTTTGATAAAGATATAATCAGATGTGTATGTATAAGGGGAGTAAAGTCCACGCCACACCTTATAATCCATTGACTTCCAGTTTGGAAGAAATAGCATCGGGAATAAATAGGAAATAGATAAGATCATTTAAACAATTTTTTCATAGACGAATTGAAACAAATAGTTGTGCTGATAAAGTTTTTAAATCAAAACGGATACAGGAAATGTCTGGTAGTACTAGCCAGATCACTTTGCTTGTTGAACATTACGACAATTTGCAGCCAATTCAGTATTTTCATCTACTAGAAGCCTTGCTATACCCCCATCTATCATGCGTAGACACATGAGCTGCATACCAACTGGGCCACTAGCATACGTCTATCATTATGGAGTTTGCACCTGATCAGTGTTAATGAGGCTCGTAACGATGACACTTGTAATCACTTTATCATTTTTTTTTCAATTACTTCCGTAGATACAAGCTATCTAATCTACGTAGGGTTGAAACTTTGACGTGACCCTTCTCGTACTTAACCCTACATTGTACCACTTGAAAAAGAATATACAGACATATCATAGCTATATATAGCCTGGTCATATCCATGCATGCTGTATGTCCGGTAACAAAAAGTAAAAGTGAAACTGAAGGTGTATATATTGTTGGTCTAGTTTCGAGTATTTTAGACTTTCAGATAGATTCGACCTTTAGGGATGATTATTTTGTGTTAGTCTCTTCTCAGTGACCACCTACATTTATTTTATTAAAATCATGATCTGCGTCAGGTACCATTACTGTTCATGTTTCTCAGAGCAAATTATTAAGAAATCATAATTGGTTTAGTTGATGAGCGCAGAGTGTTTCACATTATGTATTTATCTGTGGCTTTGCATTCTTCTGGTTTTCTTCTTGTTCTTCTTCATCTTCTTTTTTTCCTCATCTATTTCAGTGTTTGAGGCTAATGCTCCATGTATTTGCGTTTTTGAAAGTAGCTTGGATAGATGGATTTCTTTCTGATTCATGGAATAACTTGTCTGAATACCTTAGAAATATAGAAACATGAAAAGTTCAGAAGTAATTTGAAAAAATATCTATTTAGCGCTTTGTAAGATTTCACCATTATGAACTGAGTCTACCATTTTTACTCCTTCTGTAATTTGTTCTGTAAAATGCATATAGAGACATGCAATTATGCCTATTTGTTATTCGCCATACAAAATTATTTACTATTTCTTCCTTTCTCCCTCTTTTATCTTTCTCTTTCTCTCTCTCTCTCTCTCTTTATCTTTCTGTCTATCTATACATTTGTCCTCTCACAATATATATATCTTTCCTTGTTTTTTCTCTCTTATTTCTTTCCACATTCCATACAATCAATCTATTTCTTCTAATAGATGCTCAGCCTATCATATGATACTTTCGATTCCCATCACACTTTTTAAAGGGATAGTTGAGTTTTGTTTTTCAGACCGCAAATGCCTTCAAAGTGCATGGTTATTGCTCTTAATCTTATCTATGACATTTCAAGTGCCCTTTTAGAACCTAAAATTGCTATGAGGGTAATTTCAGACCCCAAAATCTGTGAAATTTAGCCAATACGATCATACCAATTCAGCTCCAGTTTCCAAAAAATAAGGTGACCGTTAATTAATTATTTAATTTAAAAAAAAACAATACATGGACCGGCTGGTTGTGCGTAATATAACCCCCCCCCCCCCTCCTTCCCGGCTGCTATCGATTCAAGCATTCTTGCTTATGATAGTTGGCCTCTGCATTTATCTTTATCTTTATGTTTTTTGAGTTGATCATCTTTCATATTTAATATTTTGTTTTTACTTTTCAGATACCATGGAAGGCATAAGAATAAGTTTCTCTATGCTTACTGCTTAGGATTGTATGTATTTGCTTTCATTCTCTGGAATATCGACAACAACGTATGCCCAAGCATCCGGTAACTTTATAGCTTTCTCTTTAGTAACTGCGTGGATTAAAGGGCATTCCAACCTTTTTAATATAAGCTCATTTGTATGAAAAATAAGAGAAACAGAGTTGCGAAAGTTTGAAATAAATCGGACCAATAATAAGAGAGTCATGAGTGCTTGAAATATAAAATTAGGAAATTTAAGCGAATATCAAATTGGCAGTTTGGTTAAGGGACCGTGACTTAGACACGGACAGTTGTCCTGTTCATCATATACAAACATGTCATTAATTTCTATTTTTCACTTGCATTTTAATAACTCAAATTCAGTTCGGATTTTTACTACCGGTATGTTAAGCCGGGTATTATAAATTCTTTTTATCGTGATTTAATTCTTATCAAATCGTTGTTTTCATAATTCGTCATTAGATTCAGTTCCTTTCCCTAAATGCTTTCATATACTTCTGCGTTTATTTTCACTTTGTCCTTTACCAAATAAATCTGTTCCTAAGTCCCTGCCATTCCCTCTCAAAGTGATAATACAAAAAAAAAATCATCATTAGTTTCACGTTCGTTGCCTTGATTGCTTAATAATTCTACTTTTATTTTCGCTTTGTTTAATAGATCCGTTCGCAAGTCCATGCCTTTCCCTCTAGGTGCAGCAACACAGCTACATGGGTGGTGGCATATTATGGCGGGAACCAGTACTCACTGTTTTGTAATTTTAATGTAAGTTTCTTTTATTCATTGTATTATTGCATAAATATTGAATCGTTTAAAGTAATGCGTTTTGTCAACATGGTCAAGCAATAAGTGTATATTTAAAGTAAAACGGTCTTTACTAAATAAGTTACTTTATTTTTTTTAAATGCAGGAAGATCAGAGAAACTATTTATTCCTCTTAAAATGATACCCAATTGGTAAGATTTTTCAGTCATGGGGTGAAAAATGACTGAAAATCTTAACAAATGGTAAAAAGTGAAAAGTTGCAAAATGTAATTGTATTGTTATGCAGTGCACCACACTCTTCATAGAAAGAAGAATGCACAGTCGAACAAGAGAAGTGAATTTTGCAACTTTTTACTTTTGGCCTTGCACCTTATTTTGATGTAATGCACATTCCATGACTGAAAAATCATAACAGTTGGGGTATTATTTTGAGAGGTATAAACACACTTTCTAATGACGCTAAACATAGCAATTATTATGCCATAACAAGCGAGATATAATTAATAAAACTTGAGCTTCTTAACTGTTCATGAGGGGTTTAGATTATGTTAAGATTAAGTTATAATAATACAAAAGATTGATTCCTGATTCAGCATCTCTGTGAAACGATATCTGTAATATACATGCCTGCTAAATTCATTTCAATATTTACCTTGTAGGTGCCACTTCCGATCAAGTTACCTGCGTCGAGAAGCGAAACTGGAGGTATGTTTTTTCGCAAGATCAATAGCCATTAAATGCTACTTCCTTTGGAAATAAAATTACAAAATGAAAAGGAAACAGAGTTATTCGAGACCAAGTAAACACTCATACTTCCTATAGTTTATGTCTGTTTCTCTTCTTTTTCTGCATATTGTGTTCTCTTTTCCATTTTCTTTTTTGTCGAGGGGGTGGGGTATTTAATCTTGTACAGAGGAATTCGAGGAAATCTAGACAAGGAGTTACATGTACATGTAAGCCCCTTTCACACCGGGCCATACGTTGCGTAGTGTTGCGTAGTGTTGCGTACCGACTACGCCGATCGTACGCTGACATACGCTGGCCCTTTTTTCATGAATACGCATCCGAATTTCGGCGTACTCGTTACGCCACACTACGCAACTCTACTCATATCCGGTGTGAAAGGGGCCTTACTGACATTATAAATATAGTGCAATCCTATTAATGCTTTTGGTGTTGTTTTTTCAGTATACTGCAGGTCTAATCCCATTCATCCGCCATCCCAGGAAAGGTCACGAGATGAATCACAACATGTAAAGGTCAAAGGTCATCAGGTTTCTTCACTCTTAAAATATTGGTGCTTATTGTTTTACTTGTGCTATATTTACCAAACCAGGGGTTGTTTCACAAAGACCATGGTAGACATTAAGTTGGACTTTACTATGGCAGGCCATTCATGCCACTGACTGCTATCACCATTGGTCTCTCAATTATGATCTTTAGATAAATATTTCTTCTTTCAATAAGGAACTATAACAAATATAAATCCTGTAGATTTGTGACCATAATTTGGACGTCCCCTGAGAGACCAATGCCAGTGAATGGTGAGAGCAAACAGTGGCGTGAATAGCCTGCCATAATTAAGTCCAACTTAAAGTCGATCTTGGTCTTTGTGAAACACCCCCAGGCGATGAGTGTATTATAAGAGAAAGAAGATTTTGTTAAACCATGTTGTTATGTTACCTGGGCTCCAAACTAACAAATTTGTTGAAGGGGTCCGGATGAGTCTGCATGTATGCATGAGCCCTATGTATGAATCTTGACATTTTGATGTCTGGACTTAGATATTTGGAGCCCTTTTGTCCCGGGCACCTCTAGTGTTGGGCCCTGTGTTTATCCTGGGCCCCGGGAGCGTCTTTTTTTTAACCAAACCTAGCCATCCTAGCGCTGCATATTAATATTTGATTTGCGCTGGTACGGTGTGGTGGAGATCACAAAATAACTATGATCGGCCAGATTTTGGACTAACCAGTATGTCGTAATGATTATGGGCAAGTTACGACCCGGTTGTCATTGGTTTACGGTAAGTTTCCCGATTTTCTCGCAATGTCATTTATTTTAAGTAAACATAGCTGTGCACTTGTAATTTTTGTATCGGAAATCTCATTATTTGATAAATAATCGCATCAGATTCTTTGTGCGTGCGTATCATGAATATTTATGACTAGCGCATGACGTATACGTTCCTATTGAGCCTATGAAATGCAGCGGTAGGATGGCTAGGTTAGGAGGAAAAAAGACGCTCTCGGGCACCTGTTAGTGTTGGGCCCTGTGTTTATCCTGGGCCCGGGGAAGGCTCTTTGATAGCAATCACAATGAAGAAATTGTGTGAAAGCTTGAGAGTCGTATCATGAAGTTTGGCTAAATCCAAGGTATAAGAATAGATTTTGTTTGTAAAGATTTTTTTAAAGGGGAGTGTTTAATTTAATGATATTGATTTGTGTGATATTATTTGATAAGTTGTTTGAAATGGACCACAGTTATTTCTAAATCCACTTAAAAATAACTTTTAGCATACTTTTGTGTTAAGAACAACTAATGGGATTGCAAGTATGATTTTTAAAGATCAGCATTCTTTAAAATGACTATGCATTTCTTAACCTAATATATGCAGAAAATATGGCGATACTATGTATTAGTTCCAAGCAGGGTTATGTGGATATTGCTGCTATTTTGTATCTTGTTTTTACTTAACAATATTTTTGATAAACAAACTGTTTCAGGGATAACTATAATGAACATAAATTATTCGAAGACCATTCCCGTAGACTAAGTTTTGCATTTTTCTCACTTTTTGCCTCATGAAATATATATATATTATATGCAATATATTGCAAAATAGTAGTGATAGTTTATATCGAGTATTCAAGGTTCACACTTTTGGTATATGTATAATGCATCCATAGTCTCATCAGCTTCTGAAGTTACCTTCATATTCTATGAGTTTCTTTACTGTATATCATTATCCGCATTGTCTGTTGATAGCATGAAGTATGATTATTCTTTGTAAGAATATATTGGTTAATACGCTTACGGGTCTCAGCAAACAACATTACTTTTTGTACATCACTGGCATTCAGCATTATTTTGTTTACAAGTGCACAATGATATGAAAAATCTTGACAGCAATCAATATGTAGATAATTATATATGAATATGTGTATTGTTTATTTATACCAATGTGCTTTATTATTTTAATCATTAAATGAAACTTGCAAAATATATGATTGACAAGTCATGTAAACAAAGTATGAAAAAAGGCATGTACGTTCACTGTCACAGATGCCTTCAGAAATCTACTCAGGATGAAATCATTCCCAAATATGATATTTTATTACGTGATTAAACTTATTATAGTTATAAGTATGTGTGATTATTTAAATTGAATGGATTATGTATGTTAGAATGAAAAGAAGTAAAGAAAGTAAAGCATGACTTTAAACAAACAGAACTTTGTTATTCCTGGCTCATTTTTCCTGTGTGAGGTGTCATACGAAAGGGCAGAAAATGAACTTTCTAGAAATGTGATTTTTCTCTCTGAAATTCAGATACCGCCCTCCAAATGACTTTTTGGTACCCTCTCTTCAAATTGTCTTGATCACTCATGCATGAAATATGCAACATACGAGTTGCATCAAATGGAAGAGGAGGATCTAAGTTAAGTTATGATAAAACATCGATAATTCTCAGTTTCATTTTTTCTGGGACGCACTGTATAATGACTGCTGGTGTGATCAGCTGTCCCCGAATACTCGCTCCTCACTCCTGTCTCTCCCTTTCCCTCTCTCAAAATAATAATACACAACATGTATTAGGCGCTTAATGTTACCTGCTTATGTAGTACATACTTCTGGTGAGAATTGAGAGAGGAGTCGCCCAGCCTGCTCATACCTTTGATCAGAAGATTCTCTTATTTCGCGCCATAAAAGGACAGAATAAAAGATCAGGAGAGAAAAATCACGTTTACATAACTCTTATAATGTATCGATATGATAGAAGCCGGTTCATAATTATAAAAACGATCAACTAAAGAAATATGCTAGGTATTGGTGTCCGGATTGGTGTGGAGCTGACGTTTAATTAGATTCGGTAATATTGTTTAACGCCCTTTAACTATTTTATCGCTGACTGGGAGAGTGATTGATTAATTTGAAAATAGTTTAAAGATAAACTGTTAAATGCCGTTTTAGTAGAATAACTGAATTCAATGAAAGGCAATATAGATTTGGTGAGCACTCAAAAACAGAATTTTTGGACGATAAATAGTAAGAGAATAATTTACAAAAGTACAATACTTAGCTGATGTGAGTAAGTCCCTCCTCGAGTAAAAAGTGAAACGATATTGAATAGTAAACAAGATTATAACTGGTCGGGCACGTAACTTCAATGTGCACCACGCATTTAAAAGATAGTCCACCTAGAAATTGTGCAGGAAGGTGCCCTGAACACGTCCGTACAACCTTTTACTGGGATGTTGTCTAAAAAATCTAAAAAATCGGGGGTTTGCTCCCAAGGGTAATGAGAAGGCCATGCAAACTAGTGGCCCGATCGTGTCATGACGATCCCATAAGATGGCGCTATACAAAAGATCCACGAGGTCAGCAAAGGGAAGGTATCTTTTCATTCTACTTTATCCGAATGGGAAAAAGAATCGTGTTAATGAGAGTAAATCGGAATTGTTATCCTTCGAAATCTCGACAATATCAAAACGTACCTCACACACCCACCCCCCCCCCCTCCGGTATCTGCAAAAGTGCATACCGTACCTGTGTTGTTGTTTTTTATAAATGTGACGTAACACGGATAATATAAGTGCTGCCTGCCCGCGTTTTTTTTAACCTAAGCTAGTCATCCTATCGCTGCATTTGATTGACTCAATAGGAACCATAATGTCATGCGCTTTTCACCTGGCCCATTTAATTTTTATCTCCACCACACCGTACCAACGCAAATATTCATATATTCAAATATTAATATGCACCGCAGGATGGCTAGGTTAGGTTTTAAAATGTCGCTCGTTCGTTCGTTCGTGCTCGCCCCCGAAAAAAAAATAACAATGGCACAATCGCTTCACACAACCGTAAACTATCAACTTGACAAGCTTAGCGTTTAAAAGATGTGACGTCACAATAGCGCCAATGCTGCGCGCGAACTTTTATCCAATCATTGCACAGTAACCAGGAAACTTTCGAGTTTCGTGACATCACAATGCCTTAAGCGCTGGTGTGTTACGTTTCATTTCCCTCGCATCTTGCTTGCTTCACATATTGCTTTACATTGCCAAATCAAGCTATGAGAAGTCGCCGATTCTTTGACTTGTTCTGAAGGTAGGCTAAGTATTAAAATGTTTAGTATTATACTTCAAAAGACAAATAAATTAAGCATTCATTATACAAAATAGTCCCAACCATATTTTATTCGGGATTTTATTACGAAAGCTCACTCTTTGTTATTTTCTACCAAGGCAATCTGATAATATAATCTTTAATGTTGTAATCAAAAAAAAAATTTATTGTTGTTTTTTTGTTTGTAAATATTAGTGTAAAGTTGAAAAATAACAGAAATGAAGCTGAATCTTTTTTTTAACAGTGTGCATTTTATTTTCTCAAACATAGTCTTTTTGGATATATTTTTCTGTTTGGATATATTTATATTTAAAGATGAGTGATTGGTATTTTTGTTTAAAAAATAAAAAATAAAAATAACAATGAAAATCTGATTTCGGCTTCTGTTCATCCTTGCAATTTACTCTGATGAGGGCAAGAAAAAAGATTTAGTAGGTCTGTTTTATCGTTGCTATTTTTCAATATTTATATCTGTTTCACTTAATTGAATTAAACGCTTACGAGTTGTAAACAAATAGAAATAATGTATTCGTATCATAGAATATATATATATATATATTATATATCTAGGCTATATGATTTGGATGCATTTCATAATATTTATAAAAATCAAGACTCCGAGTATAGGCCTATAAACACTACATAACATATCTGTTTAATATTTACCTCTTATTGAGTTACAAGTAGAAAAGGGACATTGGCACACTAATATGACGGTCTCGTGGAACGACCCAGGTGGAATTAAAAAAAAAAACTATATACGTACGTACAGTAGCTGTTCAGTCAGAATTTCTCAGAAATATGTTGTTGTTGTTTTTTTGCTTCAATTGTTAACAATTATTTACCTACTTCGTCCAAAATGTATGGTAGTGAGGGTCGATATAAAACCTGTACATTTTTTTGAGGAGGGGGAGGGGGGGGGGGGGGGGGTCTTTTTTCTTTTTTCATTTGTCTATTTGGCTCTCGTCATTTTGTCGACGTGTTTGGCTCGGCTTTTACTTTGAAGAGCGATTTCTCCCGTCAGAACAGATCAAGTGATAAAAATCATGGCTTTTCCAGCAGGTGAGAACAGGAAAAATATTTTAGTAGTGTTTTCTGTTCATAACAATCTTTTAAAATGCTCAATTTGGACAAGGAAATGTACGTTTCCTGTCTTCAGTCCCATATGTATATTTTTGTGTAACGGAAAGTGTACGATCGAGCGCCACCACAGTAGCCTACACGCGCCATAAAAAATAAGGCACTTTGTTTTCAGAGAGTGAGAGAGAGAAATTGAGAAGAAATTGACTGTTATTAATGTATAAAAAAAATAGAGGGGGAATTAATTGTGAGATCTGAAGGAAGAGAGAGAACTGACAAAAGAGGAAAGGCGAGAAGTAGGCCTAGATCCCCGGCCCCCCCACTCAGGTTTCAAAATGACCGCATGCGTGTTGCCAAAATGTCCTTTTCGTAACAAAAGAAAAAGGTCGAGCCGTATTGACTTTACACACCGGACTTTTGCTGAAAAGGGGGGGTGCGGAAAAAGGCTCGTATACAAAAGAAAAAGGTCGAGCCGTATTGACTTTACACACCGGACTTTTGCTGAAAAGGGGGGGTCGGTTGGAACACGCATACTGTATGCGTACCCTAAATAATACTGAGTGGGGGGGCCGGGCCTAGATCTAAGTTGGACTAGGCCTAGAGAGTAAAGGAGGGGTTTTTCGGCCACTTAAGACAAAATCCTATTTTTTGGACCCTTCCTATTTATTATCATTTCTTTTTCAAATCATGAAGGAAATATTATTATTATTTAAACAAAAAAAGAATCCCAGAAAAAAATCACGAATTGCCATGACAATATTCATTTCAATTTTCACTGTTTCGGAGTCAGTTATCGGCATAGCGAACCAGTTTTCGGCCGCATGTACAAAGTCAATAGGAAGCGCGCACGTGCCGTGCGTTTCCGCGCTGATCTGTAGTATTAGCGGGTGGAGCAGGTATCCCACGCCGGAGCTCGCCAGGCCGAAAACTAGTACTGCAGTGATCGGAAATTGGAATCTGAATTAGACAGAGATATCGTGTGTGCGTTGCGGTGTCTGGCTGCATTGATTTAATACATGCGGTGAGATACTTTTGAGCTTGCGACTAGCACAAAATCGGGCTCTTAAATTGAAAAATACTTGAAATAAAGCTCATTTTATGGTACCCATATTTCTTACAGATACGCGTAAGATACTCGATTTTTCAGATTCGGGTAGCGAGACCGCCAATTACATCGCTTAAATGTGATATTTTAGGATATATTTTTCATTGCAAATGTGGTTCTTCAGTGACTCTGGCATGGTATGGTATGTGTGGGATATATGCTATTATGCGATGTATTTTAAAGGGATTTTACCATGCATCCAACCTATCGACCGAAAACTGAAGCTGGTCGATTACCCCCTCCTTTACTCTAGGTCTAAAACTTAGAATTCTAAGACTAGTCTAAGTTAGAAATATTAGAACAGTCAGAAGGCACTCCAGCAAAGCATAGAGAGTCAATGCTAATGCGTATTAACCTCTAGATCTGGCGCTGCACACACAAAAAGTCAATACACACACAATTAATTTAACACACAAATGCATGCAATAAACGGGATAATAATAATAATAATAATACAATATTTATATAGCGCAAAAAAAACATAAGTTTCTCTTTGCGCTGTACAAGCATATATATAATCACATAAAATGAATCAACACAGAGAAATATACAAATCTTATACCACTAAAATGACTAACTTAACATAGTAAATAACATAATAAAGAGATAGCTAACATGGTCAAAACAAAACAAAGAACGTAAGTAAGGATAGCTTAAACTAATTAATTAAGGCCAAAGAGGTGCATTTTTAGTGAAGATTTGAATGTTGCAGAAGTGGGTACCTGTCGTATGAAATTGGGGAGATTGTTCCAAAGGTTTGGTCCAGCAACTGCAAATGATCTGCCCCCATAGAATATAGTATTGGTTTTGGTACACAAAGTAATGCTTGATTGCTTGAACGGAGGGTTCGGGGAGGGTTCGGGATGTGGCTGATCGGCAAGTTTTGACAGTAGACTTACAATTTTAATTTTTAAATTGTATTTTTTAACATCGATAAGTTGAAACAACTGTATTTTACTGCTATTTAGGTTTCATCAATTGTCACTAAATTGTCACTTTTGAGTGAAATCAGTTTTGTACAGTGGTGTTTGAAATGTTGAGAATCGATAGCACAGCTTTTAATACACAGCTAGGCAAGTAATGCAGCTATGCGTGTCAGGAGGAACAGAGAGTTGGGGGGGGGGGGTGGTCATGGTGCATGGTGGTAGGGAAGAGAAATACAGTCACAGGATGAGGTCTCTCGATCTACTCGAAACTAGTGAGGCTTCTTTTTGTGTAGCAATGTGTTATTTTCTAATTTTTTGGTTGCCCCAATCCAAATTTTTCAGTTGTTTCGCTGCGCTGTGCTGTACAGCAGTATGCCTGGGGACGTATTGGACTAGACAGCGCTGTAGCCAGCCTAAGCCAGAGTTCCAATAAAGATTTCACACTACAAGCAGATCAACCTTATGCTGAGGTAAGAAAAATATGTATTGTAGTGGTACGCTGATTTGGGCAAAACGTTGACCTAAAAGGGGGCGCTATAGCAATAGAGGAGTTGGGTTAATTTGATCATTTGTAGGGTTATCAATATTAGTTTGACATCGTTTATATCTAAATTTGAAAAAATTAATAATGTTCCCGATAGTGTGCCAAGAACGGGTTAACAACCCCCTGGAGTCTGGACTTGAATTTCTGCATTAGATTTACAGGTGTTTATTCCTGATAAACATGTTAGTTTTTCCAGGGATCTAACATTCTTGCGGGGCTGTAGGCTCGTCCTATGTGTATTAGGTAGAGTCTTTCTAAAAAATTAAGTTTATAAAGCCAAGGACAATTACTTTTACCGGTAAGTAACAGCACCCCACATACAATGCAGGGTGAATGCCTTTTAGCTCAATTGATGTTTAATTCCACTAGACATTTTTTCTTTTTCATTTTTTATCTCTAGCTATGGATGGGCACCCATCCAAAGGGTCCCTCCATTGTGGGCTCATCAGAGCATGCTGGGATACCTCTAGGTGACTGGATTGCTAAGCAACCAGAGTGCTTGGGGTCGAAGGTCAGAGCAAAGTTTGGTGACCAGCTTCCTTACCTCTTCAAAGTGCTGTCCGTGAACAAGTCACTCTCCATTCAAGCCCACCCCAATAAGGTATTGTTTTGAATTTGATTTGATTTGATTTGATTTCAAAACTGCGTAATTTTTGTATGAAATGTTACTTATTATATTCCCTCTACTGTACTAATCCTCTAACATGCAACAAATCCTTTTAAAAATTCTCAAACCACAAAGATATATATGGTTTTCTTTGAAGGCGTCACTGTGCAACACCCTTTTACAGTAAATTTTCCCAACCATTTTTGAATTTCCTAACCGTTTTTTTTCATGAAAATGAGACATAAAACAGGCTTTTAAAAGTCTTTCAACACTTAGATGTCTGGAATCATATGTAGAGCCAACTCATTGCTTTGTGACGATTTACATTTACTTAAAATGTAATTAAATTGTAATAATATAGTTGGGAGAATTAAGAAATTGATCAGATCGGTTTTTTCCCAATTTTTATTAGTAATAATGGTCCGTTTTCACTCAAACTTTCAGATTATCTTTTATTGTACACCTAGCATTGAATACCTTAGCACCATTTTCTCTCATCTGAACAATGTTACCAAGTCCCTTTAATATGCTAATGTTATGTTGTTGATCTGCTTCCATAGGCCCATGCTGAGCAGCTACATGCAGAGAGGCCAGATAAGTACCCTGACCCGAATCACAAACCAGAGATGGCCCTTGCTCTAACCCCATTTGAAGGCATGAATGGATTTAGACCAGTCTCAGAAATAGTCAACTTCTTAGAGAGTAAGTTTGATTCCTGTTGGTGTTTGTTTGTTTCTTTATTTCTTTCTTTCTTTGTATGTTTTTAGCCGAAAATATTTGACTATACCTCTATCTCTGCTGACCTTTTATTGTGCTTTAAAAAAAAATCTCTCTTCATATCTTACTCTATAAATCTGTCTTCTTCTTTCACACTCTCTCTCTCTCTCTCTCTGTTTTCACTCTCTTGTATGACTTCTTTCTTTCTCTCTCTGTCTGTCTCTCTCTTTCCCTCTCTCACACGTCTTTCATCATCAATCTCTTTCACTCTTTCTCTTCTCTCTTTCCATCTCTCTCCTCTCCTACACCTCTCTATCTCCCTTTGTCTTTCTCACTTTGTCCATCATCATTTTGTTTTACTATAAAACACAATTCCACATTCTTAGTGAAAAATATTGTCCAAGCTACCACCAAGTGACATATCTTCCTAGTTTGAATATTTGGTTATTATTTCATTGGTAGAGGTGTCATGGTCGAGTGGATATGTCACCGGACTGTCGATCACAAGGTCCGTGGTTTGAGTCATGCCGCCACACTCAGCCTAGGTGATGTAAATGGGTACCTGACAGGTATTAATTCCCTGAAATGCTAGAGCGTCGTAATGGCAGCCGTGCTAAAGCCATGGTAATAATCAGGAGAAGCAGGAGTGTCAAGTCTGACAGACATGAGCGCGTTCCAAAACCCACTATTATTATTATTATTATCATTATCAGTCCTTTCTTAGATGAAATAATAGGTGATGCTTACTCCATTTTCAAAACAGTTGCATCCAATATTCCTGTTTGCAGATGTTCCTGAGCTCAGAGCGGTAGTTGGTGATGAGAATGCTGCTTCCCTGTCTGCTGCCCTCAAGGCTAGCGATGGGAATGGATCATCGGAGGAGTGTCGTGCTGGGCTGAAACAATGTTTGTCAGCAATCATGAATAAGGAAATTGCCGAGATGACATCTAGGCTTGAGGCAATGATCACAAGACTCAAAGCAGAAGGTAGATATGTCTTACTCTCGATTCAATTCATTAGTCCATATAAAATACATTGTTTAAGTCTGTAGTTAAAGGGATTGGGTAACTTTGTCTCAGATTCTGAAACAAAATCCTGGATTTAGCTCATGCTGCAATGATAATTATAAACCTTTAGGTCAGTCAGGAACCCCATCGGACTTTTAAAAGCCGATTGCCTGTCTGATTATCAAGATATTGATGATTGCAAATCGAAATTGTGTTTTCCTAACGGTTTTCATAACACTACAGCCTATTGGGGAAAACGATTATGGTAAAACCGGTCACTCAAAGATTTTTACTTTTTTGAGGCGCTTCTTGATCATTTTGAAGCGCAATTTTTCAGGGCTTCAATGTTGCACCACATCACAGACACTGATAACATATAGGGCCGTATATCTCAGATTTAACATTGTTAAATTAATTTTATTGAGGGTCTGACTTTTGTAAATTTCATGAATATATCATGAATATTTCAAATGAAGCAATGTTTTCCTGTCTTTGTTGTCACATCTGGTGTTCTATCCCTCTATGATTTTAGTTACAAGAAAAAAAGGAACCCAGATTCAGTCCTTTATAGCGTTGTAATTAGTTCTAGATTTAATCTTAGACATTCACCTGATAGCCTATCAAGATTGTTTGTTTTATGTTTTTAAATACCATTTTTCAATAAAATCTAGCTATTTGACAGCTGAACATCAGTATTCTTCTGATTCAAGTCAAATTGCCTAAGTTTGGGATGAAATGGATGTTCAATCCATGATTTGGTCGAATGATCTCCATTCCAGTTGAATGCACTTACACATCATTGAATTGAATCTCAAACTTGGGCAAAGGGAAATTCTATTTTTTTTAATATTTTTTTTAATTGGCCAGTGCTCAGGCATTCATGATTGCATTAGGTGAAAAAAACCTATCAAATTGATAATTTAAAATAAAAACACATTGTCAACCTCATACGAGTATGATATATATAATATACATCACCAGTTTCCTTTTTGAGATACTTGATCATAAATATTTCATTTTCTTTCATTACATTTCATTTATTTATTTCCACGTCAAAATAAAAACAATCTATGATCTTCAATAAAAAAAAAACTTATTAATTAAGATATCTGAAGCAGGAAGATCATGAAAAGCACATAAATGGCTTGTTAAAAATGATCCTCACAATTATGGTTTTCTTGTTTTTTTTTAAGTATGTTAATTTGTTCAGTTATGTTAGTAATAATTTATTTTCTTGGTAATTTAAGTAATGTTAATTCCAATAGTAATATTGATTTTTCTTGATGTAATCTTGAATTGTGTACAGCGCTTTGAAACTTTTATGTCACAAGCGCTATATAGACTTTTTGACTTATTATTATTTATGATTTTTTCTTTGCACTGTACAGAGGCTGCGGGACAGGACCTAAGCAAGAACAACGGAGCCCTGGCCCTGAGGTTGTATAGTCAATTCCCTGGGGATGTGGGGTGCTTCGTTTCATATCTCTTCAATCATATCACCCTGCAACCGGGACAGGCCATGTTTCTAGGACCCAACGAACCCCACGCTTACCTCTCAGGAAGTAAGTTCTTTTGATTTTTGTTTAAAGGCATCGTTTATCTGAGATGCATGACCCCACGTGTGATCAGTGTCTGTGATGTGGTGTAATATTGAAGCCCTAAAAAAATCGCGCTTCAAAACGATCAAGAACTGCCTTAAAAAATTAAAAATCTTTTAGCGAACGATTTTACCATACTCGTTTGCCCCAATAGATTGTAGTGTTATGAAAACCATTAGGAAAACGCAAAGTTTGGTTTAGATTTCCAATCATAAATATCTTTATAATCAGACAGGCGATCAGCTTGTAAAAGTCACGGGGTTCCTGCCTGACCTAAAGGTTTATAATTATCATTGCAGCATTAGCTAAATCTAGGATTTTGTTTCAGAATCTGAGACAAAGTTACCCAATCCCTTTAAATTCTTTTAGTTATTGACACTGCATGGTACCCACTACCCAGTAGTTGAAATTTTATCAATTTGATATCAAAAGTGGAGTAAGACTCTAGACTATAAAGTCACGGAAGCTTGGTGGCTAAGAAAAACATTTTCAACTATTAGGCAACAAAAGTACAGGAGGGGAAGATTCCACACTCTTCTCTTTTAGGGCTGATATTGACTTGTTCTGAATATGAATATATATGATTTAAAGGTATAGACCAGTTCTGGTCATGCGATTGCATTGTGAAAGAGAATCGGTCAGAAAAGGTTGATCATCTAGCATATAAGTATTGGTGTGTACTGCAAGGTTCTAGAATCATCAAAATGATAAGAAATTTGGCCCAGTCTTGGTAAAGTTACAATCACTGTACACAGAAAGATGTGGGACTACGGTACGTAATATCTATCCAGGCCGGATAGATATGATAATTTACCAAATATATCAATTAGGAGGCATGATTGGTATTAAAAGCTTCCATTTCATATTTTGAGGGGGGGGGGGGGCATTTCCAAAACTGGTATAGACCTATGTGTTTTTATGCCTCCGCTACAAAGTAGCCGGAGGCATTATGTTTTCGGGTTGTCTGTCCGTCCGTACGTACGTCTCGTTCTCGTGATCGCGTTATCTCAAGAACCAATCGATAGATTCCCGCCAAACTTGGGTCATGTATGTATCTTACAGAGCCAATGAACTGATTAGATTTTGGGGTCATGAGATCCGAGGTCAAAGGTCACAGGGCTCATTATGTATGCAAAAATAGCTCGCTTCTGTTTTGGTTTGTAAAATTGCTCCATGGCGGAGGCATCATTTTCGACTGCGCGCGGTCGAAGGTCCATCTAGTTTTAAATAACTTTTGGCTTCATATTTATTATGAAGAATTAAAAAGAATATATATTTGTGTCATCAGCATGTGGTACAAATAAACCCTCTATATACATAGATATTTTAGATATGGAGAGGTTCTGCTTTATGCATTTTTAAGATAATCACTACCAAAGTGATGGAAGTGCTTTATGAATAGCTTATGTTCTACGTTTTGAAAAGAATACATCCACCTGTGTATCATGGAATGCTCTTTGATGCATGAATGAATAACAATCACATTTCTTTACTAATAATTTATTTTACCTAAGGAAGCAACATCAGCATCAATGCTTTTCTTCTAAGGGCCCTACAGATTTCATGAGCACAATCCAGTATTCATCTCAATTATTTTTACAATTTCCTATAAATAACTTTGACTGCCCATGAACAGAATTATATATTGCAATACTGTATTGTTTATAAAGGTAATTTTAAATTTGTGGATATTTGAGTGGAAAAATAAATAGATTTTTTTTAAAAATCCAAAAAATAAATTCCAAAATCCATTGTATCCATGAACTAGTTTATTCTTTATTTCTTTCTTTCTTTTATAGACTGCATGGAGTGCATGGCGTGCTCTGACAACGTGGTGCGTTCCGGGCTCACCCCCAAGTTTAAGGACATCCCGACCTTGTGTGAGATGTTAACGTACCTGCCATCGACCCCTGATGAGAAGATCTTCCCCAGTAAAGCGGATGCTAGTGAACCCACCCTCACCATCTACGACCCTCCCGTTCCGGATTTTGCCGTAGCCAGAGTTAAGGTATGTCAGGGCTAATCTTGCAAGGAGGAGAATTTTATCATTATTATTATCACAAGAGGCCCTGCCTGAACAAATAGAGAAGCCCTCCCCCCCCCCCCCCCCTTCCCCAGTAAGACCCACCCTCCCCATCTACAACCCTCCCTGTCCAGGGCCCTGTTACATAAAACTTGTTATCAATAGCAAGTTACAAGCTACTGTTATAAGCTACTGAAATCATGGCATCTGATTGGCTGAGAGCAAATTTGTCATAGAAACTTAGCTCTTGCTATTGATAACAAGTTTTATGAAACAGGGCCCAGATTCTGCCGTTGCCAGAGTCAAGTAACAGTACGTCAGGGTATTGCATACATGTAGCTGCCAACATTACTATTTTGAAGGAATTCTACTTATTTTTGAGCCTTTAAAGGCAGGCTTTACTACTTCACCTAGAAGGGATTAGACCACCCAGCGAGCCAGTGAGGTCACTGTGACAGGTGGTTATCTCATTAACTCAGCTCTCATTTAACATAAGAAAAAGAGGATCATGGGGGACCAACAGGCACTGATTGGGGAATGTTTCTATATAGAGGGAGCAAGTAGCTACAAGTAGGACAGTGTGCCTTTAAACTTTAGGTTCCCCTGGTTTTTGTGAAAAGCATACAAAATGCACTATATTACTATTCCCTCCTCCCCTGTGAAATTCCTAATTTTAGCTTGATTGGTGTAGTAGGTAATCTTACCACTGACAGTTTTTCATTTGACATTTGACCCCATGCACTCTGTCTACACCAATGATGACCCCCCCCCCCCCCCTCCCCCTTTCCCCACGGACAGGTGACACTAGTGACCCCTCCCTCACAATCTATGGCCCTCTAGCCCCTGTTTCATATATCTAATTATTAATAGCGAGTTACAATAACTGTTATAAGCTACTTTAATCATGGCATTTGATTGGCCAAGAGAAAATTTGTCATGAAAATTTAGCATTTGTTATTGTCCGGTGTGGCTTCACCAGCCCATAGACTCACACTCTGCGCGATGGCTGAGCAAAATATCTCGAGGTAATTTCTTGAGCTCGAGTTTTGAGTTTAGAGGTCCAGTCTCTAGCTGATGGAGACGCAATTTGTAACTTCAGGATTACTTTCCACATCAGAAATAATGGGTTATTTGGCAATCTCGAGCTGACGAAGACAGGCCTTATGACCCTCCACCAACAAACTTCTCATAATCAGCGTCAAGGTAAACAATGTCAGAGTATGGTCAGCAATGCTTCCCGAGAGAAGTTATCAAGCTCTAATCAACGGCGCCCCCCCCCCCCCCCCCGCCCCCTTCCCCAAGTAGGATAGATCCTAGCAACATCTTTCATGGAATCAAACTTGATAATCCATAATTTAACAATCAAATCTAGGATGCTCTGGGGATTTAAAGTATTTTTTTATATTTGACCTGGACAATTTTTTTTCCGATACCGATCTTTCCAGGTCCCTGCCGATCAGGCCAGTTACACCCTCCGAGCCGAAGACAGTCCTAGTATTATCATCGTCATCGAGGGGCAAGGAGAGGCTGCTCACCCCTCGTTGGGAAATGGACAAGCCCTACCATTCTGCAAGGGGTCAGTATTATTCCTCTCAGCCAATGAGAGCCTGGCTTTCAAATTATCTCCAGCCAATGGGCTGTTGGCTTTCAGGGCCTTCTGTCCCCTTGATTAATGGTACTACCAATGTAATGTGATCTCATGAATATTCATATATGATTAGCTCTATTTTTTTGATAGTGTATCCAAACTATCCTCCTTTGGGCTGCTAGTTTACGTATCTTTTCTCAAGATATTTAAAAATCAACTCTGCCCAGCCAATGGGCTGCTGGCTTTCATTAATGGATCAACCCACAGTACTGTCATGAATCATGAATATTAATGTATGGCTAGAATAGACCAGCTTTGGGATACTACATGTACATTCGGCCCCCAAATATCTGCAGATCTTCTAGACGATGGAGAAATTATACTTTGTGTTGTAGAATAATCACTGAAATAGCGATGGGTTTGCTTCATGAATACATTTTGTTTGCCCTCTTGAAGAGTACTTCCACCGAGTATCATACACGTGTAAAATGTAGTCATGTACAGCATCTTCAGTGCATAAATGATATATTATACAAATAGTGAATGGCCATGAGTGCAATGGTACAAGATTTTGCACGAGGTGAAAGATAAGAGACGCTATATTCAACGAGGCGCAGCCGAGTTGAATGGAGCGTCTCATCTTTCACTGAATGCAAAGTCTTGTTCCATTGCACGAATAAAGACCATTCACTATTTGTTTTATACAACAGCTCGGATGTACGTGATCGGTTATTACATTTTTGTCAACATCAACAAAAAACCTTTATCTGCCCAAGCGCAATTAATATCTCAGAACTAGCTTATTGTTTTGTATATTTAGAAAATCCGGAATTTCCTAACTATAGGCTGCCTTATTTCAATGCATGGGGCTGGCTCTCTTGCTTATTAGACTTTAATAATTCGATCTCATGCATACATGTATTTAAATGTGACTAAAATTATTTTTGAATATTCAGAGAAATTGTAACTATCCCCTTCCAATCGGCCACTAGATTTTTAATGTTTTGTGCTTTATTGATAGGCTTTGCCAGTATGATCTAATGCAACAACAACTATTGGTGATCGCCTTGTTTTATTTTACTACGCATGTTGAAATTCATTCGATCACTGCCAAATTGTGCCAATGTTACGGTTTTAAATCTATTTTATAACTACGTGAGAATTTAAATGAAAAACTATTGAAAATTTCAGTCTGTGAGTCCTTCTGTATTGTAAATCTTAGCTGATTGCATCTGAAAGAACTTACAGTCAAACTTGTCATAAAGATCACCTGTCTCAAGTGGTCACTTATATTTTCTTCCTCAGAGGAAATACTTGTTTAAAAACCTGTTTGGAGAGGCCATCTGTTTACAATTTACATTTTTTTTTCTTTGTCTTAGCATTTATAGACATGATTTATTTCACCAATGACATATTATGTACGCTGTATTTAAAGAGGAACTCTATCGATATAACATTGGATGAAAAGAATTGCTTTTCATGGGGAAATAGTGATTTTGCATTTGATTATAGCATTGCCAAATTTAAGAATTTATTGCTGATGTTCTTTTAAATATTCTGTTTTAGTGAAAACTATCCCACCAAATTGCACAAAAACTGCTGAGTGATAATTGCTGTCACTGTTCATACACCCTTTATTAGTATTAAATTTAAAGCATGCGAAATCAAAAGATGAAAATTTCACTGATTTTTAAACTTGTCAGCAGTGTACACATATGTTGTATATTAAACTGGTACATATAGAGACAGCTGTAGAGTATTGCATCTGGTGGGTGTATTTTAAGCTTCTGAAAGTGCTGCGTTTTATATGAAATGCATGAACTGTAGTCCATTTCTAACAAAAAATTGTTATAAACTTCTTATTTGTTCCAGTTAAAATATGTTTTAGTTTATAAGAAGGTAACATATTCAGTATTGTGAATATATTCGCATTGTGTTATGCCTTTCTTTCCTTTTATAAAGGCAAGGTAAAATTGTGCAAATTAATTTGATTGTAATTTACTTCAAGAGAGCAATTTATGAAATATTTAGATATATATATTCTCTTTGTACTTTGTAGATTTGTATTATAATAAAGGCACTTCGTCACAAAAACCTTAAGGAGCAGTAATATTTGTGGATGTTCTTTTTTAGCATTTGTTCAAATCTGCTTCCAGCATTATGAATAAAAAAAGTCACAGGTTTTAAGCATTCAACAGTTATTAACTTAGTTACATAACTTAGTAAATTCTACCGTTTTTTTTTCTTCTGTCTGTCGGTCTGTCTCTCACTCTTTCTCTTTCTCTTTCTCTTTCTCTCTCTCTCTATCCCTCTCTCCAATTCTCTGTTTCTATCTCTTATGTTTTTGTTAATCCTGGCTTTCTTCTGCCTCTCTCATTCTCTCTCTACAATTCTCTGTTTCTTGCTGTCTCTATCTGTCTGGGTTTTTCTCTTTATCTCTCTCTCTCTCTCTCTCTCTCTCTCTCTCTCTCTCTCTCTCTCTCAATGTGCATTCTAGTCTCTAATATAAGTAAGTATCTGTAATATTATATAAATATACATGAAGGATTTATATGGTGATTAAAAGAGGAAAAATCAAACTAGATACATGCACAAATGACGCTAAATAATGAGCAAGACAATAGTACAAAATCCATGAAATTTGATATTCCGTGGCAAGATGGAATTTAGTTTATTTCAAAACATTGCTGCAAATCGGACAATTACTTTAAATGTATAGTTTCAATAAAGACAGGTAATACGTAATACATGACACGTGAAATAAACCGTCCCCCACATCAATATTGTGTATAGTCGCATGCAGGGTATTACATACAAACTTCTACGCAATTAAATAGTTTTTTTTTGTACGTTTTTTTTACTTTCTGTCTCCTAGCAGAAGTCGTCGAAATCGGTAAAATCTTATGCGATGAAATTTCGCAGTCAAATTCTTCATCATTGTCTATAGTAATTGGTAAATTGGTAAAACTGCTCAGCTACGGATACATCGACTAATAAGGGTTCGGGGGTACACATACAAGATGATGATGATGAAGATGATGATGATGACGATGGTGATAATGACATAGACGATGATTTTAAAGACAGAAAGATAAACAGGATCGACAAAGGCATATATGGAAATATATATATAGTCATATATATCTCTCTCTACTACAAAGTGCATAAATGGTACACAAGTGGTCATATTGTCAACATAAACATAGGGGTGCTCGTAGAAAATACTTTTTTTTTTCATTTCTTTTTCTTTTCGACGGGATGGGGGCCCGGCTGTCCAATTTGCCCATGGAAGAAGACAAAGAGAGAAACAAAGAAATGATCATCACTTTTACACACTGCGAATTAAGTCAGAATAACACTTACGTTTTATACAACTTGTAGAATCTTTAATAATTCATTTTTCATAACAATAATAAGAATAAGAATAATATGCCTGGAAACTAGATCTAATAAATAATAACATGTTTGAATATGGAAGAATTATATTATACAATTTTTTTTTCCTTGAAAAAGTTGTTACATATGAATGGCTCAACGTGTAATGTACTCTATAGATAATATGTACTCCACAGTGAACTCTGAAAGCCTATAGCATTGAATACATGCTATAGTCCTCCTATACAAATGATATATATTCATATGTATTGATCCATATATAAATATAGATGCAAGGAGAGGTTTAAGTACCTTTAAACTATATTTTCAGCATCCAAAACTGACAAGGTTTCAAAGAAATACATGCGACACTCCACAACAGAACAGAGCCATTTTGTTTCGAGTTGCTGCAGACGATTATACAGAACAGTTGAGAAATGGGATATAAATTTCAGTTTATATTCTATGCATGCAAAGGTATACAGGAGGAAAATTAAGTCTATTTTGCATCTCTAAGATAAGACTTTGATGGTTGGGGGAACAGACTTTATGTCACCCCATTTTATATTTGAGATTTTATACGAAACCAGAACATTTCAATTTTTTCCAGCTGAAGTTTGATGGGTGTGCAAATTGATGTCTTTCAAAGCCTGGAAGTAAATTAAGACCTTTCCTTTTATATTTAGAATATCCTCAAAATGTATTCCAAAAAACAAAGATTTCTTTTTAATTTAGTGGACTATTTAGATTTAGGGAAATTCCCTCGTTTTATGTAATTGCAGCTCAAATTATAATGTCGGGGTTCACTGAGCCGATGGAAAACATGAAGTGCAAAAAGAATTTTGCAATTCTTAAATTAAACAAAATCTTCAGTGAAAGTTGTCATTCCTTGCTTCTTAGAACATATCCTTTCCATTCCTTTTTTGTGTATATTTTGTTGCAGTCTTGAATGTTTTCATTCCTTTTGGTTAGTGCATGAGATGTCTAGCTCAAATATTTCTCTTTGTAAACTGTAAACAATTTTTTTTTAAATTGAATTGAATATACCTGTTGTTACATGAAACATGATTTGTAGTTGTTTAAGGGACTGAGAGCTTTGTATAGATGACTTCTTAAGATGATCTTTCTGAATGATGTGCAAATATTTGAGAGATTAGTATTTCATTAAGTTTAAAAACAAAAAGACAACTTCTAAATATAAGAACTCATAACGGACTATATTTACGATGAGGTAAAGTGTAATCTTGCATTCAAAATGGTGTCATCCAAAAGCAGCATTTTAAATTTGCAAACAAAAAAGAGAGAAAAATATGTGAGTGCAAACATCAGTCTCCAACAAAGAATATCAAAATTTGGAAGCATTGCAATCTCAAAGAAATAGTCGTTTTTGTACAACTGAGTAAAATAATGTACATTTACAATTGAGATAGAATGAAAAGAAATTAAGCCATTTTGCAAATTCTGTACACGTATGTGCCTAAAGATAAACAGTTGAAATCATATGCAGGCTTATTTTGCTCGGTAAAACTAGTGTTGGTGGTGCTCAGATTTGTCCCCAGACAAATTTGCCTATTTTTATATTATTTGTATTTAATTTGGTATTTTGGGCGGTTTGAAGCTACTAAAAGGGTCATCATTGATATAAAGAGTAATATTTCTGCAAGTTTTTAGATGAGGTAGCAACTGAAAAAACGTGTCTTTTCAGTTTATTCTTGTAGTGGTAAAAATGTAATACTTGTCAAAGGTTTGATACAAATGGTGGAAAAGGGTCCCTTTGTGATGTTTCATTTTAGTATACTGGTATGTGATATTATTGATTTGGGTAATGGCAATTAGTTACTAAAGTTGGTTTACAGCAAAAGGTTGCATAATATGATGTGTCAAGAAATTGTAATTCAATGAGTAGCAAAAAGCTGTTGTAAGGTTTCCATGTGCTTTCAATTAGTAAGCGGCAGAAGGTTGTATGTGCCATGTCTGAGTAGTTTAATTCAGCAAATAGCAAAGAGTTTATGTGGAGTCTGCAATAAGTTTCTTTTAGTTAGCAGCTAAATGTGTATGGGAGGATGGATTTAAATAGAGGCAAATTGTTAAGTGATGTGTCTAAGAAATTCAAGCTAGAGGCAAAAGGTCATATGTGAAATGTCTGGAAAGTTTATGTTAGATAATGGCAAATGATTCAAAGTGGTGTGTCTAAGACTTAGTAAGCAGCAAAAGGTCGGATGTGACATTACGGTTGGTCCTTT